AACAATATTCCAGCCTAACTCCCTGTAGGTTATTGAATCACCTCCACACGTAATCAAATGACCATCTATCTAGCCTTTATTTGAAGAGTCCAGTGATGAGAACTCATTATCTATCTCCAAGGCTCCTAGGTCTAGGCTACGTATCATTAGCCTCTGTGTCTGCAGGTTCTACATCCATGGATACAGAGGGCTGTACTACGCTGTTTCCTATAAGGGATTTGAGTACCCTGGAATTTGGTATCTGCAGGAGCCCGGAATCAACTCTCCACAGACACCAAGGGATGACTATAAATTGTTGGCATTGATGGATATATAGGAGATCATGTTTTGCATCACTGGGACAATCCACTGTCTGCTCTGGGTAGCAGAGGGCACACCTGTCAGTAATCTGCTGCATCTATGATAATACACAGGTTGCTTCTATTCGTGTCTATTGTTTTGCACGCACAAGTACTATTAAACCTCTACAAAAACAGAATAAAAAATGATGACATAAATATAGAATGTTTTTAAATGATCTTAGATTTTATTTTATTAATGCTATCCATCCCAAAGGGGGTGCCCTCATTATAATAATACTATTATTAATACTGTTCTAAATGCTTAGTTTTAAATGTCTCAATAATCATGACAGCTTTATCCTATGATAATCTACTATCTCAACACGTAATATTCCCTTACAGCTCAATCTATTGTTAATGATAGTGGATGTAAGTTCATATTTCAAATAGTCTTCTTGATCATTTCAACTGTGTTTCACCAATTTACAGCCAAATGTAATTTCTACTTTGTAATGTGGCTGACAGTTACTTCTCAGGATTGGTGAAATGCCATCTCTCCCTCTTCCTGGTGTTCTCTTAGGCTGATAGATGTTTTTTGCAGTAATCATCACTTACCTATTTTCTTGGGACTACTTTAGCTAAATCAGGATAATATCTTCACTGGCTACACTTAGCCTCCTATGCACCACCACAACTCCAAAAGCCCAAGAAGGCATGAGGCAGTCTTTGTCAACCCTCCATGTAATGGAATTCCTGCTCTTTCTTCAGGACACCTTGAGTTTGCAAGGAACACAAGACTGATTTGTTTCCTTTACTCTTCTTTTTTTTTTTTTAAATTAGTTTATTCAATTCAATTTATTCATTCATTATTTATTTTAATTTGACCAGACACATGCACACACACACACACGCACACACAGAGAGAGAGAGAGAGCGAGCGAGGAGAAAGTGAGAAAGCAAGCCACTAGGTCCTGGACTCGAATCATGGTTGGCCATGTGTGAGTGTCCAGTGCCTTAACCACCACGCCACTTGCTGGTCCCTGTTTCCTTTACTCTTAAGGATCAGCATGTGTACACTGATTTGATAATCATTGATTACAGTAGTCTCTATGAAGGGTCTTCAAAGAGTTCATGAAAAATGTGTATTATGAAAAACTATGCATGAATTTCAAATTTTTTTGCACCAAACTAAACTGGTATTTTTTAAAAAGAATTCTTTATTTAATTTGACTTATTATTATTATTTTTAAATTTGTGCTCACTGGAGAGAAAGAGAAAGACAGAGAGTGTGAAAAAGCAAGCCACCAGGTCTGGAACTTGAACCATGGCCAGCCAAGTGGGAGTCCAGTGCCTTAATCACCACGTCACCTGCTGGCCCTATAAAGTGATATTTTAATTCCATTTCTACAAACTTTTTGAATCCCTTTGTATTTGGTTTATGCAAGCTCTGAGAGTGAGAAAGTCTTTCCTTCTATTGAATTAAAACCAAGCTGTATAATAGCCAGTCTGGTCACTGTTTCACATAACCTCCAGGGTCTTGGGCTCTTTCTTTTTCCACTGACTTTCCCAAACAGCTTCTCATGGGTCTGGCCCTTGGTGACAGCCTAATGCTTATAGCCCTGTCTGCTCATTAACACCATTTTCTGCTAGATATACCTTGCCCTATAGAATCTCTAGCCCTACTCCCTACCAGTGAGACCTGAGATTCACCAGTGTTCCAGCCTGTCCAAGGGAAAAAATATAAATAAACAGATAGACACTACATTGTAAATATTTGATGTATGCGTGTCTAGATTTTTTTTCCTGCATATAAACTCACATACATTTTATTCTAGTTTGCTTTTTTGAAAAAGGATTAGGCTTTTCAAATGTGGCAAACATAACTATGCGGCACTAGATAAAACTAGAAAGTAAAGTGGCCTAGTTAATACCAACAAGCTGAAATTACAAAATGGTACAGAATTTGTCTAATCTAGACATTCCTCTTTTTCATAAAGTGTAATTTTTAGTCTTCGACTCTGTGTATACTTGTGGAGAGCGGCCATTCTGAGCACACCCGGTGACCTTCAGATACATGCAGAAACAGTGGTTCTGCGAGCTTCCTTTACATAGCTATAAACGCAATGATAGAAACACGCTACCTGTGTGATAGATGCTACAAAGTAGTATCAGGTGAAAGTCACATGTGTTTATCAAAATCAGCTTCAGGGACCAACAGTTAGCGTAATGTCTATGTCGCTGGACTCCCATGTAGTCGACTGCAGTTTGAGTCCCAGACCCAGTGGCTTAAACTCATGCTATAGGGTGCCTGTGCATGCGTGACCAAGATCCCGAGAGGAGAATGGAGAAGGGATTGCGGCGTGGCCATCCCCCCAGGAGGTGATTTCTCACTTTCTGTCTCTCTGTCTTTCTGGGGAGTACACGCGCCCTATAGCAAAAACCTCTCAAAAAAAAAAAAACCTCAAAAGAGCCAAAAAATCACATGGTGCCAATGTTATCATTTCCTTCAGCTGATTAACATCTAAAAACAAGTCGCTTTACATTCCATTTCCTCTTCCCCCATTTTCTGCCCTATAAAATGATAAACCTGAGGCTTGTTCTGGGTGCAGTTTTCTCCATCAACGTTGGGCCTTCCCAATCCTCGCTTTTCTATACTTATATGTCTTTGTGTGTCTGTTGTTATTTTTATTTCTAATTCACATCCCCTCCCCCCACACTCAAAAATCGTGTTGTGCCGAACAAATTCCAACATATACTTAATAGAGACAATAACTTTGTTTGAAAAGAATATTATATGCTGAGGAGGACAGAAGTCTGGCTGCTTTTTCCTATTTTCAAAATCACTTCCATAGAGCCTGGGGTAAAGCATGCCCACAAACATTAATGGATCATATTGGCCCATGTGATAATAAGACTCTTCCTACATCCTGTCCCTGGCATAGTATCCTTGTGATGGGTGAGTCACATCTGCAGATATTAAAAGACCATTTCGGCTCATTGATAACAGGACTCTTCCAACACCCTGTTCTTGAGACAGTATCTTTGTGACGCATACAAGCCCCCTTAGGTCTGCTACAGTACACTCTTTGCTGATGTCTTCCAGAAACACAGCCCTCCTTTCCAATCACCAACCTAAAGATGGTAAAACCCACCTGTAAGCTACAAGCCCCCATTTCCAGATGTCCTGTCTTTTGGGGCCAGACCAATAGAAAACTCTTTTCACTAAATTCTAAACCTAGTTTGTTACTCTCAAAATCAAATAAAAGGACCCCCTGTATCTGACCAAGGCATGGTTTTTCTCCAGGCCCAGATCACACACATCTGTGCTTAGAAATAAACCACATTCATTATTATTTCTGCAGAGTTGGTTATTTCCATTGACACCATATAATCCAAACCTTAATTTATTATTAAAATTCCTGCCCCACCATCTAATAGGGAGTCAGCTTCTCTTTCACACTTTCGATCTGGATAGCACAAAGTTTCTCTAGGCAGTCCATTCCACCCTTCCCTGCTTCCAGGTTCTTACTGTTAGAAAGTCTGTACTGAAAATAAAAGAACACATTATGGGTGGAGTCAGCAGGTGATGACTTCATCTGAGGCCCAGTGAAGACCATGATGATTAGGAAGATTTCCCTGATGGAGGGCCTCAGGCGAGAAAAGAGAAAGTAGAATTTGAAATTGGCAGTGAAGGGGAATAAAAGATGGTTTTCAGCAGCAAGGCTGAAAGATCTAGGTACTGCGAGAGGCAGAGGAATAAAGTATTAGGAAGGCCTGTGCCACTGGGTGTTAGGTAAATTATAAGAAAGTCAATGGCATTTGGTGAGTGGTCTGCCAAGTTTCGTTATGGGTGATTCTTTTGTACTTTTAAGTATTGCCTTGATGTTCTGCTAATCACATCAGGCACAGCCTGGAAACTCTTCAATAACTCCACACTAATTTTTTTGAAATGTAGACAATTTAAGGTGAAAGAAGTACACTTGAGTCTCATTGATTCAAAGGATATGGCCAGATGCAGAAACGTGTATAATGGAATCATTTACTTAGTACAAATCCGGACTAATAGTCTGTCTAGATTAGGGTGTGGGTGGGACAAAGGACTTTAAACCTGAGAACTTCAGGAGAAGTTTACTTTTGTGGTCAATCTTCATTCAGCATGTTTCCCTCAGTCATAGACCATGGCCTATAATAGTCCAGATCACAGTGGTTGGCGTCAATGATTTGGGCACTTTTGCCATCAGGGACAGTAGAACGCAAAATCCCAACCCAGGGACTGACTCTTAGCAAAGAAAACACCATGCAGGAAAGATTGTGATCAGAAATGCTTTTCTCAAGGACTTGGGAGCCACACTTTTTTTTTTTTAATGCTTAAACACACTGTGGTACATTTATTTATTTATTTGGTAGAGACTGAAAGTCTGGAGAACATAAAAGCATTAAAAATTGTCATGGACACTAGAGACAAAGTGGAAGGAAAGCATGGGAGGAGAAGAGTGAAGGAAAGGAAAATTGGGGAGAAAATAAAGATATCATGCTGGGTAAAGTCTCTTTAAAATCTAAATGATGTATAACAATTGAATGTATAAATAATAATAATAAAGAAAATGCAATAAATAAATGTACCACAGTATATTTAAGCATTAAAAAAAAAAAGTGTGGCTCCCAAGTCCTTGAGAAAAGCATTTCATAAAAAGCTGGCAAGAAATTTATTTATCTTTTAAAGAGGTTTACGCACTTCTCAGAGGAGGTGAGAAAGAAAGTGGTCACTCCAGTTACCAGGTGAGTTTATAATAAACTGTGAAGGCAAATGGTACAAAGTCCTCTTATGTAGAAATAGTTATTGTTTATCTTGAAAACATGAGTGGAATGGGCTGCGTTTGTCTAACTATATGAAAGGATGAAATTTCTTTCAGTTTTGGCAATCTTTTTAGCAGATTATCTGTAATTCACATCACATTCTAGTTTAATGATTATTTGATAATAAGACTCTCATTTCTTCTCTACTTTTGTGGAGAGATTTTCTTGGTTGGCAGGAGGGTTTATTTTTAACTATGTTTACCTACAGACGACATTCACTGGCTTCGAGAAATTCTCCAATTGCTGGTTTTCATATTCACTCCATGAACAGAAAATCTTCAGGGAAGCCAAATTATCTCAGAGGATTCTTTGGCAACTGTTAGGAGTCGAATCATGTCCCTCCCCTAAAAAAATGTGTTGGACTCCTAACCCCCAATACCTGAGAATGTGAACTTATTTGGAGAAGGGGCTTTATAGAGGCAATCAAGTTAAATAAGATCATTAGGATAGGCCTTCATCCAATAGGGCTGATCTTTACAAAAAAGGACAATTTGAACAGAGTCAGACACATCTAGAGGAAAGGTGATGTAAAGAGACAAGGAGATGGCAGCTGTCTACAAGATGAGAAGAGATTCCTGGAACATATCTTTTCTTCACAGCCCTCAGAAGGAACTAACCCTGTTGACAACTGGATTTTGGACCTCCGGACCCTCAGAACTGTGAGACAAGGGAACCAGCAGTTAGCGTAATGGCTATGTCTCTGGGCTCCCACGTAGTCGACCGTGGTTCGCATCCCAGACCCGGTGGCTTAAAACTCACACCGGGTGCGTGTGCGTGTGTGCCCAAGATCCCAAGAGGAGAATGGAGGAGAAGGGATTGCGGCGTGACCATCACCCCTGGGGGGTGATTTCTCGCTTTCTGTCTGTATGTCTCTCTCTGTCTGGCGAGCACACGTGCCCTATAGCGAAAACCTCTCCAAAAAAAAAAAAAAAAAAAACTGTGAGACAATAAATTTCTGTTGTTCCAATCACTCAGTGGGACTTTTTTTGATGGGGAAGTACTTTGTTATGGTAGCTCTTGCAAATTCAATTCTGTGAATATAGAGTTAGATCAAAAAGATGTAAATTTTTGCATGAGCTAAATGTAAAATGGTATTGGCTGTGAAGTCTGAGGCCTTTGTCTCCATGCTAGGAGTCCCCTTACCATGGGAAAACAAATGAGCATCACCATCCACCACATTGCCTCTGTTCTCATCCCCAAGGTGATGGAGACACAGTAACCAGCTTGGGCTCCGGGGTTCCTTTATCCAACTCCATGCAGACCACTCCCAGAGCACTGCTCAATTACTTGCAGGTCTAATTTCATTAAAGGTTCAGTGCAGATCCATAACTATCAAAATAAATAACACATTGACAAAGAGTTCAGATATGGGGACCAGCAGTTGGCATAATGGCTATGTTGCTGAACTCCCATGTAGTCCACTGCAGCTCAAGTTCCGAACCTGGTGGCTTAAACTCATGCCGGGCATGTGTGGGTGTGTGCTCAAGATCCAGAGAAGAGAATGGAGGAGAAGGAATTACAGTGTGGCCATCCACTCTGGGGGAGGAGGGTGGTGGCGATTTCTCGCTTTCTGTCTGTCTCTGTCTCTCTGGTGAGCGCACTTGCCCTATAGCAAAAACTTCTCAAAAAAATAAAATAAAATAAAATAAAGAAAGAGTTCAAATATGTCCTTAGAGATGGTGAGAAACTTTATTACAAGATTTTTCTTACAAAATATGATAACCTGATTTGATAGTGTTCAAATAATTTTAAACTTTCTTTTTTAGTGCATTGGGTGAATATACTATGATTTTATTATTTTAATTTTGCCATATGATGCATGTACTCACTGGACAAAAACAGAGAGAGAAGGAAGCACCCCCTGGAGAAGAATAGTCACACTGCTATCCCTTCTCCATTCTCTTCTTGGGATTTTGGGCACACACGCACACATACCCAGTGTAAACAAGTTTTTCAAGCCTCTGTGTCTGGGACTCAGATAGCACTGTTGGCCATGTGGGATCTGGCCACCTAACCTCCACACCACCAGCTGGCTCATGATCATACTTTTAAATTCAGTTTAAAGTGCTTTATAAATTAAATTGAATCAGGTTTCTGGACCCCATAGCATGCAAGGATAGGGCCAGGCCCCCTGTAGTCCTGTATTGGGGCTTTGTAAGGGAAGCAGCTGCGTTCATGCCTTTGCATCTAGAATGAGCCTCCTTTTCCTTCTAAGCAGGCACAGCCCCACACCTGGGCACATCCTGGAGATCCACGTGTGGGCTGGATTTCAGTCTTCTTCCCTCCTCCCCCCTTTGGGATGCATTTTTGTTGTATGTAAACCTTACAACCTGTATTCACAGCACCCAGACTGAAAGCCACTGCTGTCTATAAGGCTCAGTGTTGTACCATGATAGCAGCTAATCCTGTTTACAGTAAAATAATCCTGGGAAGGGGAGGGGCCTTGAAATAGGTCAACTTGCACTTTTTTTTTTTTTTTTTTTTTTAGTTTTTTTCCATAGAGCACAGGTGCTGGCTAGAGAAAGAGAGAGGGAAAGTGAGATAGCATTCTTCAGGGTGGATGGCCATGCTGCAGTCTCTTCTCCTCCATTCTCTTCTCAGGGTTTTCAAGCAGCCATGTCTGACACTCAGACCACAGTCAATCATGTGGGAATCCAGTGCCTTAACCACCATATCACCTGCTGGCCCCAAACCAGGTGGCTCTTTAGGTTACATCACCCCTACATTCTGTAAACCCTACAGATATTTGAAAAGATCCCATGGGGATCATCTCTCGCTTACATCCCCTGATCCTGCTTTATTCCCTGGCTCTGTTCTTTATCTCTGTTTGCTGTGATCTCTTCCCTCTTTAACTCCCATCTCTTGATTGTGTACCCCCAACATGTGTTTCCACTGTTGGCCCCTCCAAGCTTTGTGCAGGCATCTGTGCTTTCTGATTTGGAGCCTGAAGCTTTCTCCTGGATATGCTGCCTGGTTGCACTAGCTGGGGCAGGAACCTTCCAGCCCTAGCCTCAGCCTCAGCCTCAGCCTCAGCCTCAGCCCCCACAATCCAAAGCTAGCTGTGGAATATTCAGTCACAGGCTGGATAGCCCAGCCCAGGGTGGGAGGTGAATGAGATCATCTCTGAGACGACTCAGAGTGGAGGAGGGCTCCTAGAAACTCTGCCCAGTGGCCTGGCACACAGCAAACATGCCAGCTCTGTGAAGGATGTCCAACCTGAGGTCCAAACAATACAGGAGAGGCCTACCTATTCCTAGAACTTCCACCTCTGTTAACTCTAACACTATTGTTATCATCTTTTATTTACTTTTATATCAAATGGTTTGATATCTGCTTACTGCTTTAAAGTGATATGCTGTGAAAATGGAAAACCTTGTCACTTTTTTTCCTCCACTCTTCCTCCAAGAGATTTTATGAGTATTAAGAGGGATGGTATTATTCTTCCCAGTCTACAGATGAGAAACTGATGCTGGGAAAGGAATTTATAATTTCCACCCAACCTGATTTTAGTGGTCTGTTGAGTCATTGTTTTGAACTAACATACTGTTCTAACACCAGGGACAAAACCCAAAACTAAAAACAAAAACATCACACACATCACTGGTAACCTAGCGTTAGGCTTTCATTTTAGTGGAAGATGTGTATGAAGTTTTACCTTCTGAATGACACCATTGACTTTTATGAAGGAGATATTTAAGGTGAACCAGGAAAAACAAAACAAAGCAAAAACAAAAGCATGGTCAAACAACCTATACTGCTGAGACTTTTATAGACAATATTAACAAATTCTCTGAGTTGCCTAGGCCTTCATATTTAAGGAGGCACTCACTCTCAGGGCCATGTGAATGCTGGGCTGGCAGTTGTGCTACCCTGAGGGTGAGTGCCTCCTTAAATGTTACCCTAGCTTCTTTCCTTGCCCTATCTAGTCTCAACCAAGGAAAAAATTGAATCTGTCTTAGTTTGGATTCCCCAGAAGCAGACTCTGAGAAAGCGATCTGACTACAAGTGATTCATTTAGAAGATGCAGGGACCACTGGCAGGGTAGTGGGAAAGTAACAGAGAAGGGAAGGCAGTCAGTAATGCCTGAATTGTTAAACCAGCTGCCCCAGTGGGTGACTAGATCTAACCCATGGGAAACCATGGAATGAAATAATACTCTTCAGAATTATACCACTTGAGGGGCCAAGGGGCTGGGGTATTTATATAGCCTCTCATCACTCTTTGTTGAGAGCAGCTCTGGGGGCCCTGGTACTTCTGAGCAAAGGAAGGAGTAAAAGTCCTCAGGCACAGAGATGCTGATATTTAGAACTTCAGATCCAAGGGATGGGGGTGCACCTGTGTGTATGTGTGCATGTGTGTGAAGACACTGGCAATGACTGCTACAGAGACAGAATTTAGGTATTTGAAGATACTGCACCTCCCTTAGCCTCTTGGCCTGACCTAAATCTGGCCCTTGGATGACTCCAAGAGTAGGACTTCTGTCGCCCTTGGCTATTGACCTTGACACTAAAAAGACTGATCCAAAGATGACATTTTGAGGAGAAGCTAAATGAAAGTCTGAAAGGAAGAGGAATTTGGGAGTGATGTCAACAGGGTTAAAGCTGTTACTTAAAAAGAAAGGAAAGTGTTCCATACAAGCCAGAGTATGAAGCAAGCAGAGAAAAGGAAATGAAGCCCGAAGCAAGTCCTGTACCAAACGAGGGAAGTACGGAGGCTTTGTCGGAATATCTGAATTTCTCCTGGCCCTGGGCAGGAGCAGGGAAGAAATATAAGGAGTATAATGAACAAATGAATTTTTGTGGAGGCAGAAGGGAACTCAGGGAGTTTTAGACTACATACTCTCATAGCTAAATCTCTGAGGTAACTGACCTTTGTCTTCTGCTCAGGCTCATGAGCGAGTGAGGGAGCTCGCTGTGCCCTTCTCAGGAGAGAGACTGCAGAAGGCCTATTGTGGAGAAAATGGAGGAGGACTGGTGGAGTAACCACCCTGCCCTCTTAGTGGGGTGAGGTAAGGCATGGAAATATTTCTATTGCTTCCTGTTTATGATAGAGCAGGGAGAGGGAGAGAGAGAGAGAGAAAGAGATCTACCCTCCACAGAGTTCGGTGATGCTGTGATCCCCTTCTTCCAGTCCTCCAGCCAGTCAGGATCTAGGACACACATGCACATACTCTGTGTGCCTTGGGTCTAATGACCATGGCTTGGAACCTTGAGCTAGGGTCGGCATGTGGCTTCCAGCTCTGCAGTCTAGGAAGCTACTGACTGCGCCAGCAAGGCTGGGCCAGGGAAGTGTTACTGACTCTGGTGAATTTGCCAGGTTCAGGCAGTAGTTTCTCAGACTACACTTGGGGAAACACTGTTCTTCGTCCAGACTCTGAAATCTTACAGATGCAAATCATGGATTTTTGTCAGCAAACTCCATGTATAGCAATTCCAGAAGCCATGGTGAAACTTTTCTATTTCAAGTTGCACTCATTAAATCTCTGACTGCTAAATAGCTTTTTAAAGTGATCAAAGAGGCTTCCCCGTGTGTCTGAGTAGAATGTGATGGAACTAGCCTGGGAAAATGCAAACTTGATGCAGGGGGATGCTTGTGCATGTGCACACACACACATACATCTTTACTTGTGGAGTCACATGGTGGACAGCCACCTTTTGAACATCTATGTGGTCCAGGTACTGCATGAGGTACTTGACACAAATTATCTTTTTCTTTTTTTTCTTTTTCTTTTCTTTTTCTTTTCTTTTTTTTTTTTTAAGTTTTGTTAGAGGATGCCATGTGCTCTCCAGAGAAAAACCGAGACACAGGGAGAGGGAAGAGAAAGCAACTCTCCATGGGAAATAGTCATGCTGAAATCCCTTCTCTATTTTTCCCTCCTTTTGGGATTTGGGCACACACGAGTCTGGAGTGTTTTTCAAGACACGGGATCCTGGACCCTAACCACACAATCAGCCATGTGGGAACCAGCCGCCTTAACCACCATGCCATTAGCTGGCCTGAAACACACTATCTTTTAGATAATCACTGTAATAACTTTTCAAGGTAATTTGAAGGTTCTATCTAATCACATATTGGTGTGCTGCTTATACAGCAAAAAATAAAATGTGAGGTTTGCAAGGTCTGGCCCAGGAGTCTGAAGATTCAGGGCCCAGGTACAAATTTGCTCTCATTGGTTGCTGTGCAGTCCCTGATAATTTACTCGTCCTCTCTGGGTTTCAGCTCCTCCTTGGCAAAGTGAGGGCTTTGGACTATTTTTTCTCTAGGGCCTCTGTTCTCTCACAGTACATGGCCTACCTAGTCTTATTATGTAGCATGTTCTAGAACTGACCTTTAGAGCAGCTGCAAATTTGGGCACAAAAGGTTGATTACATTAATATAATTCTACTTTATGTAATCATCCACAAATATTTATTATGTAGTTTCTAAATAGAAGCCTTGAGGGGACCCTTTGTGAAATATTATAAAGTGAACATTTGAATTCAAAATGTGCGTATGATCTTTAGAGGCTGACTCACATCACCAAGCTCTTTGCTTGATCCCATCTCCGATGCCAGCCCACCCCAGGATCCTTTTTTCCTCTATGTCTTCAGTCTTTCCATTTTCATTCACTCCTTTTCTTTTCTTTTGGCTAGAGGGCACATGAGCTGGCCAGAGAGAGAGAGAAGGAGCCTCCCTCTGGGGCATGTCTTTTCTCCTCTATTTCTCCATCTTGTTGGGATTTGGGGCACATATGCCTATGTGCCCCAAATCACACCTGCACATGTGCCCTGTGTGTTGTTTGAGTTTCCAGAGTTGAGATTTGAACAGTGGTCAGCCATGTGGGATCTGGTTGTACTTGAACAGTTACTTACACCATCCGCTGTCCTGGATCTGGACTTCTCAACCTCCATAATCATAAGACACAATACTTTATCATTTCTCTCTGTCTCTGTCTCCCACTCTCTTTCTCTAGCGTGTGCATGTGTGTATGTGTATGCATACATCCTATTGGTTGTTTCTCTGGATAATCCTAATTCATAAGGGTAGCTCTATAACCCCGTAATTTCTGTTGGTCTCTGCTTCCATCCTTTCTTCTTTTACTTACCCTTAATACTTCTAGCCAAGTTCTCTAACATCATGTGAGCATGTGAACAGGCCAGGCCCTTCCCTGATGCTCTTCTCCAGTTCCCAGTTACCTGTACTTTCCAATTCCTATTCCAGAGTAGAAGGTCCTTCAAACTATGTCCCCAGCCTATTGGCTTAGCTTTTCTTCCTCTCATTTCCTCTGTACCAGTATCACTATCCTAAATTCATCCTAGTGTTTTACATATTTTTGCCTTTTGCACTCACCATCCCCATTATCTGGGGTACCTCGTCTCCTTTTTCTCACTGGATAACTGACAGTTGGCATTTAAGGTCCAGCATTACCTCCTCAGCAAATTCATTCCTAAATCTCGAAAGCTATTCAGTCTGAACTCTACTCCATTCTGCTTTCTCCCTTGTGGCAGATATTACATCTTATCACAGTAGTTCCTGTAGTGTCTGTTTCCACCAATAGACAGTTTCTCAAGGGCATAGACTATTGAAACTTCAGTTTTGGATTCCCAGGGCCTCTCAGGTAACAAACTCAAGTGCTAAGTACAGAAATGGCAACCAAGGGCAAATGGTGATCAAGAACAGCTACGTGAAAGCATGAACCATAGGATGGAAGAGATAACAAAAGCAGAAATGACAGTGTGGTCCCACATTTGACAGCTCGTTCTTCCTTTATTTTTATTTATTTTAGTTTTGCTATAGGGCACATGCACTCAAGGGAGAGACAGAGAGAAGGGAAGTGAGAAATCACCCCCTAGGGGATGGCCACACTACAATCTTTTCTTCTCCATTCTGTTCTTGGGATGTACATGACATGTACATGCATGCACACTTGCCCAGTGTGTTTTTCAAGTTGCTGGGTCTGGAGTACAAACTGCAGTCAGTCATGTGGAATCCAGCCATCCTAACCTCTGCATCTCCTGTTGGCCTGCTAATTCATGATTGTCTTTCCCAATCATGTTACACTCTGCATTCCAGTAACAGCCCATACTGAACCGTGGAATTGTTCTCCTGAGTTGTTTCTTTTTTTTTTTTTTTTCCTTTTTCTATTGTCAAGTTTCATCTAGTTTCTACTTGGACTTAAAGAACATTAGCTGATTTTAGAAACTGCTATCCTCTCTCTCTTTTATTTTGTACCAGAGAAATTTCAGCAACTTATTCTGGTGTTTCAGAGATACCCATTCCTCTCATTGGTTAATGTTGAGATAACATTTTGGTGGATGATAGAGAATGAAAAATATTCTTTGATCTCTTGAATTATAATTAAGTTCACATTCAGTGTCTTAAAATTCGAGCTCTGTAACTTGTACCAGGATGTGGAAAATCTTAATAGAAGAGGTATGCTTTTTAGTGAAAGTTGGCAAAATAGGATATCGAGATAAAAGAGCAGGCAATTTTATTTTGGCAGCTGACAATCCTAGGCCTACTGCGTTTCTCATCACAACTGCCATTAAGCAAGAGGAGAAAAAGCCTCGTGTAGGCTCTTTAGAATGAAACCTCAGCAGGGGCAGCAAAGGTTGGTTTAATTATGTTAAAAGCAATACTAAGACTAAAAATGCTTTTAACATTCTTAGCACATAAAAATAGTTGGGCTTGATGTTTTACTTCCTAGGAGTTGGGGAAATTAGTATTTCTATTGTGGCTAAATGCCTGCAGATTTCTCTTATGACTCATCTCATGTCTGAACTCTAAAGGCTTGGCATGCGGAAGGGCGTTGAAGTCCACATCCTCCTTTCCAGTTAACCCGTCAACATAAAGTCAGGCTGTACTTCAGGATAAGTTAGGTTTTTCATTTTGGTTTTTTGGTTTTTGTTTTTTTTGGTTTTGTTTTTTTAGATATTTTTGCTATAGGACCTGTGCACGTGCCAGAGAGACAGAGACAGAGAAAGTGAGAAATCACACACACACACACGTATCCTGAGGGGATGGCCACATCGCAATCCCTTCTCCTCCATTTTCCTCTCAGGATTTTTGGGCATGCACACACACGCTTCCAGTGTGAGATCTTTTAGGCCCTGGGTAGACTGTATGGAAGGCCAGCGACGTAACTATTACGCCACCTGCTGGTCCCCAGGATGAGTTTTGACAGTTCAATTCAGAGCATATTTTCTAGGACTGCTATTAGGATGAAGAGTGACTCTTTACCTCTACATTTTTAAAAAGTGTAGGTATAATGTTGTGTGTAAGTAATAGCAGCATAACATATATTCTTGCTCCCTATAATGTGGACGGATATGACTCTGAGCTTCATTTTTGCCATCTGTAAATGGGGATAATATCTTTCTGGTTGGTTTGTTGCAGTAGTTAAATGAGTGAATATATGAAAATAACTTTGCACGATGTCTGACATATACTCATTGTTTAATGAACAATAAATGTTATTGTGGATTTTCCTGTTATTAGTGTTACTAATAATTTCAAAGGAAGAGAAATGACCTGGAAATCAGAAAAACCCAGTTTTTCAGAACTACTTAACCTGTTACTTAATCTATTTTGCTTACTTAACCTATTCTGAGCCATATTATCCTTATCTTAAAATAGTTTGGCCTAGATAACTTTCTAACTTTAGAATTTATGATTCTATGAATAAACTAGTCAGAATAGTGAAGTCCTCTCAGCTCCATCCCCTCAAGTCTTTGCATTTTTCCCAAAATATTCTTCAACCACAGCAAGTCTGGTGTCTGGTGTTCTACAAAGAGAGCCTGAGTTCACACTGGCCAGCCCGTGTGGGTGCAGGATAGCTCTGCAGAACTGTGTAGGAGGAAAAGACTTTTTTGGGCAATCATTTCCAAATCCAAGGACATAATGTCTAGAAACATCTTTCTGTACTGTGGGTACACAGATAAGATTCAGCTTTGTTTCCAGGAGATGCTGTTCCATTGTGAGGAACACCAGAAGATCGATGGTTTTGTCCCATAGAACTTGAAGGAATTT